TCCTTGTGTCTCTACTAATAACTTTCAGTTTCATGTTATTTTCTGGAGAGGCCAGAATTTTACATGATCTACAGCAGCCAGTGGAATCTTATGATTTGGAAGGTTCATTTGAGTCCAAATTTTATTTTGGGATGTTGCCGAGAGGACCAGTTCCTCCATCTGGTCCTTCTCCTGACCCACCTCCCCAACTTCCCAAAGTTCATTTTGGGATGTTGCCAAGAGGACCAGTTCCTCCATCCGGTCCTTCTCCTGGCCCACCTCCCCAATTTCATTTGAACATTGAAGTTCAAAGCAAGTAGTTATGAGGACGAGGCTATGATTATTTGGCTCACAAGAACAAGTGATTAATTTGATTTTTGCATTTGTCTTGTAATTTCCCAGCCCTTGTTCATTAATATTAATAAAAGCCTATTGTTAATTTATCATTGAATGCTGTGATTTTTGCATTTCAAAATTTGCTGAAGCATCGCATTTATTTTTATCATTTTCCTAGGGCAATACGACAAGACAAAACATAATTTGATTATAAGTTTGTTTTTTCCGCGGCTATTGCAGATAAGTAATCTGCAGTAAGTTTAATACGACGTTATTTTGAGCGAAGTTTATGGTATTTTTGTAATTTTAATTTATTTCAGGATTATAATAGTCTTTACATTTATAATTTTTTAAATTTTAATATCAAAACAACGTCGTTTTGAAAATAAATGCAGATAACTTATCTGCCGTAACTGAATAAATATTTTTTTTTAAAAATAAAATAAAACAGTTTTACAGTTTATGCAATGCAAACGCAAGTCACATGGGAAAAATGCCACCACCGCATTGATGCATAGAAAATGGGGTTCACATTTAAGTAATTGACTGTGAATTATAATTAATAACGCATAGCCTCATAAATGGTGTTAATTAATAACGACGACGGTAGCTAATATATTTGGGAATGGATCTAAAATTTTAGGGAATGCAATATCTCAAGTGAAAAAGTAATCATGATATTGAATCACAATCACTTATTTAAAAATTATATATATTTTTTTCTCTTATCTTATAAATGGTTGTGATCTAATAACACGACCACGTTATCACTTTTTTACACGAGAATTCATTCTCAAAATTTTATATGAAAGGGTCATGTAAAATTTCTCTATTTATTTAATAAATGTAAAAAAACAAATCTCTGGTGAAACATTAACAAGAGGATGCATTCTCAAATATATTTAACGGTTTGAAGTTTGAACCCATTGGACATCCTTGAAACGAAAAATCTTACGGATTTCAATAAATCCCATAATGAGTTCACTGGACATATTATGGAGATCAAAACATGTTGTGCGATATTAGGAATTTTGGATGTATTAGGGAATTGAGCTTTAGGCCGTGGAATTTAACAGCAACAGGTAATAATCCAATAGGAGGAATGGTTCCATGGCTTTGACGATATTTATCCGATTGAAGTTCTGGATTCTCACAATTTGCACCTTTTTTGCGGGTCATATAAACTGTCATAAATAATTGCTGGTTTCTTCTTGAAATGTGAGTTATTTTTAATTTCTCTTGCTACAATTCACTAATTAACACAATTTCTTGCGATGTGCGTCAATTATTATAATTAAAATTGTCAATTGTAAATTTAGAGAATGTGAGTTTTGTTTTTAAATGAATTAAGTACTCGTTTAACTTAGCTGCTTTTTGCTTTACCTATTGATTTTTTTTTTAATGTAGAAAAAAAATAAAAAGTAAAAATATCTCTTTATACAGTTAAAGAGATATAATATAAAATTATTAAAAATTCATTACTTATCAAATTAAATTTTTGGGTCAAAATAATTTTGTATGAAATCACGGATTCGAATATCACCGTCTTATTTTTTTTAATAAAATTAAAGTCAGCAGTACAAATAAAACGGTCCAATATCCACTTTTCAATTTCAAATAGCTCAATAGTGTATCACAGAGATGATATAAAACTGCTAAAGGTTATCACTTAGCAACATAAATTTTTGGACTATTCAAATGAGCAAATGCAGGATATGTAGTTAGAGACTTTTGACACCTCTTTTTTCAAAGATAAAAAAGAAGTTTAAAAATAAAGCTAAAAGTAATTTAATTATTATATAAATTTTTTAACTTAAAAGCTCAAATTAAAAATAAGTTGATATAATTTTAAAAAAAAGTTATTTTTATGAGCTTTTGACTTTTTTTTTAGTATAAAAAGAAACTTTTTTTTTATTATGAGAGCTTTTATAAAAATGGTCAAACTTATGTTTATATGAAGAAAAAAAAAGCTAAAAGAAAGAACTCCCAAATAGATACTTGCCATGCTCAATTATTGGTATTCCTCTTCTCATTTTATTTTTATTCTATGAACATCTTGTCCTCTTTTTTGTTAGCTTTCTATAAATATGTTCTATGTATTTTCTCATCCTGGTTACCAAACAGCTTGAATTTTGATATGGGTGCTAAGTTAAGAAAACCATACAATCTTTAAATAATTTTAATTTTAATTTTTAAAATGTTGTTTTAAATTTTTAGATAGTTTTTCAGCTAAAACTAAATTATGCCAAATTGGGAGAGAGTCGTCACGTGATAGCATTAGTGTGATGGGATTTAAAATTTTAGAGAAAATGTTATTTTCACTCGGTGATTTTATGATTTATCATTTGACTTATATGGTTTAAAACTTGTTATATAGGTTAATTGTGCTTAAACAATTTATCATTTAATCCTCCGTAGTTTTAAATTTTTACTTACATTTATTGTGACTATAGTATTTCACTTAGACCCCTTGTAGTCTTGTATATACATAAATTCATTTATTTTTCTCAATTTTTATCCTATATTATTATCATATTACAAATTAAAACCATGTACCAAAAAATACAAATTATTAATTTAAATTAATTTAAATAATAATATCAATTATATCCTTATAATTTTATACATGTAATTTTTTTTATTCTCCCTCTTTTTTATTTTATATCCTCGTCTAATGCATTTAAGAAAAATAAATAAATAAAAATAATAAAAAGACTTATTTTTATCATGAAAATAATTTCAAATCAAATATTATTTTATTTTATCTATTTTTTACCCGATATCATTATAAAATTATTTAAAGAAAGTAAATATCTTATTTTGATAATGCACATTTAATTAATCTTAAATAATATTTTTTAATTTTTAAATATATTTTTTAAATAAATAAAAAATAACAATTTATAAATTAATTTCAAAATAAATAACTTGAATTTTTTATTATTTAATAATTTAATTTTATTATAATTTTATTTGATAATATCATAATTATATAAAATAAAATATAGAAAAAGTAAATATTTTTATATTTATAAGACCACAAGAGAGACGTATAAGTGATATATTTTATAATCACAATGAGTATAAATGAAAAATTGAAATCACAGGGTTAAATAATAAATTATTTAAGCACAATGAGACTAAATGAAAAAGTTTATAATAAATTATTTAAGCACAATAAGATTAAATGAAAAAGTTTATAATAAATTATTTAAGCACAATAAGACTAAATAACAAAGTTTATAACTACAGGGTCAACCGATAAATCATAAAATTCCGGTGGGTGAAAATAAAATTTTCCTAACATTTTAACAATGATAAGAAGGAATGGATATGTTGTGTGTATCTCTTTCTTATTAATTAAATTCTACCTTTTTTTTTTATCAAATTGTGGTAGCTCAGTTGGTGCATGCGAGCTAAGCAGACGGGGTGAGAGCATGTGTTCGAATCTCTCCAGTACAACTTTTGTGAAACAATGAATCGATTGGAATATTTACAAAAAAAAAAATGATTTTTCTAACTTAAATATTAAATAAAAATAATTATTTTAACTAAATGACTAAAAACAAATATTTATCCTTTAATAAAAAACAACAACATGAATTTGTTAGTTGAAACAACCTCGATTGGCTCTCCGATTTACTGAGTTCACGTATGTTTGAAATTTAGATCAACGATCGTCAGGGTAAATATATCTTTATTTCTAAGGAAAAAACTAAGTATAATATAAGAGAGGTTATAGTTATTGGGAAATGTTATATTTATTACCTCTTTTTCTTATTATTTTTTATTATTAAATCTTAACTGTTGATTTCTGTCAATCTAACAATTATAATTTATTAAAAATTAATTAATAAATGTGATCCAATAAATTATAATCGTTAGATTGACGGAAATCAAATGTTAAGATTTGGTAGTAAAAAAAAAAAGTAGTAAGTATAACTTCTCTCATAGTTATTATTATTATTTCTTATTACCAAATTTTAACTGTTGATTTTATTCAATCTAACTGTTATTATTTATTAGGTTACACTTATTAATTAATTATTAATTTTAATAAATTATAACTGTTAGATTGACGAAAATCAATGATTAAGATTTGATAGTAACAAGTAATAAGAAAAAAAGACACTAACTATAACCTTTCTCCTGTAATATTATTTTAAAAATGAAAACGGAAATCAAATGTTAAGATTTAGTAGTAAAAAAAAAAGTAGTAAGTATAACCTCTCTCATAGTTATTATTATTTTTTCTTATTACCAAATTTTAACCGTTGATTTTATTCAATCTAACGGTTATTATTTATTAGGTCACACTTATTAATTAATTATTAATTTTAATAAATTATAACTGTTAGATTGACGAAAATCAACGATTAAGATTTGATAGTAAAAAGTAATAAGAAAAAAAGACACTAACCTTTCTCGTGTAATATTATTTTAAAAATGAAAAATAGGGGAAAACGAAATGAGGAAAAAAAAACGAAGGAAAAATAATGATAATCATTCAAAAAAAAAAAAACAGAAGATAGAAGACAGGGAAAAAAAAACAGAAATTAGAGGAGGTAGCAGAGATAGTTACAGATGTCAAGTGTTACTACGTTGTTGGTTATATGGGAAGAACTTCCTCGGAATTCTCAAAACAAAATCAGATCGAAAGGGAGAGAGAGAAACATTGATTTAACATGGTGTGTGCATTGAGATTAAAGAGAGAAAGTGAAGCAGAAAAGAGAAACATAGCTATGTCAATGTTGTTGGTACTCTTCTTCCTTTCCTTCTTCTCAACCTCTCATGCAATCTGGCTCACCTTGCCTTCGTCGGGTACCAAGTGCGTTTCTGAAGAAATCCAAAACCACGTCGTCGTTTTGGCTGATTACGTTGTCATCTCCGGCGGGACTGATTACACCCACACCTCCACCATTTCCGTCAAGGTACCATTTTTCGCTTTCATTCCGTAACCCTTTTCCGAATTCTTTCGTGGGTCGTTCTTCAATTGTCGTGTCGATCAATTACGTTATGGACATACGGTCGTCTTTTTTGTTATTTGTATGGTTTCTTTGTATCGACCGATGTATAATGGTTATGTGCTTTCTTCAATAAATTGAAAGATTAGATATTTATCATCTTATATTAAAGGAGTGAGTAATTGACATTTGATTAGTTAAAAGGGTCATGCCCATGATCAGTAAACCTATCCCTTTTGAATATTAAAATAGATGTTTTGCTTCTGAAATGTATGATCTGTATATCTAATTTTGATGAAGTAATTTGCTTTGCTAAAAAAGTCTTCAACTTGGGTTTGAGATGCTTACAGAGAAACGTGGCTTGAATAATTGTGAAATGCGTGCAATTCTTCGAGACAATATCATTAACTAATATCCAATAGTATTAGTTTAATTTCTGTATAGACATCTTGTGTCATCAAGATATAACTTTCATTGGGACTTAGCGTCACATTCGATTGTTAAATTAAATGTGTCAATTTCTTGTAAGTTGCTGTGTCAATTTTTAATAGTAACATGTTTTGTTTAGGTGACATCACCATATGGAAAGAATCTTCATTTTAGGGAGAACATAACAATTGGTAATTTCGCATTTACTTCCCAAGAGAGTGGGACCTACCTAGCATGCTTCTGGGTGAGTCATAATCATGGAGGTGGAGACGTTAATGTGAACCTTGATTGGAAAACTGGAATTGCAGCCAAGGATTGGGATTCAGTTGCTAGAAAAGAGCAGATTGAGGTAAATATTTCAGTGATATCTATGATTTATTAATATACCTATAAATTTCATATCGAACTTCTAAATTCCTGACATTTACTCAAAGTCCTATCAAAGAAAGAGTTTAAGTGCTGTTTCTCTAAGGTTTTAAGAATTTCAATATTTGTACTAGGGTGTTAATCAACCGATCCAAACCGATTCAAACCACGGTGACCGAACCGAAAAACCGATAACCGAGTAAACCGAAAACCTAAAAATCAAAAATCGATTAAAAATCGCAAATTTTAATTGGATTGGATCGGTTTTTTGATGGGTTGATGAAAACCGATCCAATCCAAACCGATCCAATATATTAATTTCTCTCTACTTACTTGGTTCTTTCACTAATCATAGTCTAAAAATTTCTAAACCCAAGACCCATTAACCCATCAACTAAATCCAAAAAAAAATCTAGTCACATCTCATTAACAAAATTTTATCTTTGTAGAGCTTCATATCTCATTGCCAAAAATAAAAAAACTATATTATAGTTTACTAATGCTTTTGTATTTCAAAAAAAAAAAATTACAAAGCCAATATATACAAAATATGTTATTTGCACAACAATTATGAAATAAATTTTAGAATTTTCAAAAAACCGAAAACCAACCCAATCCAAACCGAAAAAAATTGGATTGGATCGGATCGGATTTGAAAAAAATAAAAACCGAATAGATGATTATATGATCAAATCGAAGGAATTGGATCGGATGATTTTTGCTTCTAAAATCGATCCAATCCAGACCGCGAACACCCCTAATTTGTACTTACCTTGGATTATTTTTGTTTTTTGCACTATAAACACAAAAACTACCCTGTAGTAATTGCAAGCAAATTGAAGTCTACCTCTCTTGTTCTATTTGCTTTACAATGGTTGTTTTTGCTCACATTAGTCTCAACATGTAATTGTAATTGATCCCTAGGGAGTAGAGCTTGAGTTGAGAAAACTAGAAGGAGCAGTGGAGGCTATCCACGAGAATTTGATCTATCTGAAGGGCAGGTAATTTTTATTATGTGAACACCCTCTTCTCCAAAATAAAATTTATTGAAAATAATTTTAAACTTTTTTGTTGCATCATATTTTTGTGGGGGGTATTTACTCAGGGAAGCAGAGATGAGGACGGTGAGTGAAACAACAAATGGCAGAGTGGCATGGTTTAGTATTATGTCATTGGGGATATGCATTGCAGTTTCAGCTTTGCAGTTGTGGCATTTGAAGCGATACTTCCAGAAAAAGAAGCTTATTTAGATGGTGATGATAGTGTTAATTTAATTTTAAAGATGGAATTTTGTAACTTAGGCATTTCTTTGAGCTTTACTTTTTTACACGTGTAGCGAAATTCTTTTATACCACTAGCAGAGTTTCCAACTTTTCTTATCCGCAGAATTTTATTATAATGCATTATTTACTTTCCCTTGGTAGGGAACAACTGGGTATGATGATCAGTGATCATAAGAGACAGATTATTAAATTGTAATCTACATGAAAATATACTATTAAAAATATTATAATTAAACTTTAATAAAATATATTGGATTCTATAAGTACCCACAGTCATGATGGCCTTTCTAATTGATTTATCCATTTTAATTTATTTATGCTATCATTCAATTACCTGCTACTAAATTATTAAGAATTTTTATACAAAAAAAATTATTACGAATTTAATTATCATAACTATATCAAAATCTTCGAGTACTGTAACGACATATCATTAAATTATAATATAAAATAAATGGCTTGCATCAAAGTTAAACTCAATTTAAAATGATGTCTGGTATATTGAGTCATAATCAATTCAGCAGTCCAGTTGAAACTGGAAATCAACATGAAATCTTGTGTTAGAATGTATCAAGAAATCATAGCCTATTGTAAGCTTTATTCTATTCGAACTATCTCGTGGTTCAAGTATCTCAACCGGCAAATCTTATTAAAAAAATCATCAGCACTGACATAAGACTGAGAGTAGTTCATCTGAAGAATCCTGATTACCATGGTCCTTAGATTTTTCCCATATTTCAACAAGGATTCTAGAGTACTAATTTTTTCCCCACCATTTAGTGATGTTTTCACTGTGATCACAACCTCCTCCAAACATGGAATCACAAATCCTGGATCCACCTGTAAAATGAATGAGTTTCTTCATTAGATACGTTGTTAAAGATCAGTCTCAATCAGATTTATAGCATAAAAATTATTATGAATTTACATGTTTCAGACTGTTCCTCTGGCATAGTGCTGCAAACATGCCTCCATGGATATCAAACTTGCGCAGCTTGGGATGGTTGTTGAAAAAATCAACAAAATCAATCTCCGGAAAGGGATAAAAACCCACATAGTCCGCAACGGATTCAATCTTCATATAAAGATGCTTCACCTCACTTGCCAATTTCAGCATTTTGCATATTGATTCCCAGCGCCACTGGACCCCCCTCATAGATAGGAATTCCAGAGCTGTAAGGTGTCCGAAATCAACTATGTATACTTTCCCTGGAAACAATAAGCATGAAAGGAAACAAAATTAAGCTGATAAAGTCAACAAGACAATTACTTGGGAACAGGAAAAAAATACAGCCAATAAGAAATTTGTAGGTACATAAATAAATTCAAAGAGACGGAAAAAATTCAATTCAACCAAAAAAACTTAAACTTTTAAGCGAAGGCTCTTTAATGATTTATATTATTCTCTGAAGGTGGACAATGTACCGATCCACTTAAGAAAATTCCTTAAGAGAAAGTGAGGAGAAGGGCGGCGATGATCGAACCCGAGACGCGAGGCTCTGATACCACGTAAAAGAACCAATTCAATACTTTTAAGCAAAGGCTCTTTAATAATTTATATTATTCTCTGAAGGTGGACAATGTACAGACCCACCTAAGAACTTTCTTTAAGAGAAAGTGGGGAGAAGGGCGGCGAGGATCGAACCCGAGACACGAAGCTCTGATACCACGTAAAAGAACCAAAGGTTAAGTTTTAAGTAAATGCCTTTTTTAATGATTTATATCATTCTCTCTAGAGAGTCAATTACCTGAAGTGTTGGATATTGAAAGAGTCCTCAAATTCTTGGTTTCAGGGACCCTAATCCAATTACAGCCGTGTACCTCAAGGGATTCAATTTTCGGGGAGGTTAGTGAAAGTGAAAAGTTCCCATAACCTCTAAAGATCAGCTTACACTGCTCTAAATACTGCAGGTTGATTGAGAATGCTCTAGCCCCATCACATCCAAGCAGTGACAATCTTGTCAGATATGGACATGACAGAAGCACCGCAGTCAATACATGAGCCTCCAATGCTGAACCAATTATTTCAAGGGTCCTAAGGTTTTGGAAGACATCCCATTGTGGTAAATAATTTATCATTACGACACGCCACAGTTTTAGAGATTTCAAATTCCTTGCTGCACCAATGCAATCCAATTTTGGTCCGCTTATAAAGAATTCCCGGCTGTTACCAAAGTTTTCGATTCGAAGCTCGAGTCGAGAAAGAGATAGACCTACATGTGATAGCCATGAAGCAAGGCCAAAACAAGAGAAAGGGCTATATACAACTAGCTCTTGTAATCTCACAACTGTTGATACCATTCTTTTAATAATGTTGTCAGAACTTTCATTGCCAGCAAGGTTATCAAATGAGTTGCGAGGAAAGTAGAGAGATCTGATATAAGCCATTGAGTCCTTCCATCCCTTGGAAACACAATTGCAAGCTGCCACATCACGGGCATTATTGATATTGGACAAGATGTATTGAAGAATGTGATCAGGGAGGGATTCCATTGCTGAGTGCAAGAATCAAAACAGATAATTGTTAATGGATAGACAGATTCAAGAACATCTTTCCAAATTAGCAATATGAACAAAGACTACACTTGGAAATTATGATGGCTATAAACAAAACTGGTACTATCAAGCACAAGCATTGCAATCTAATCTAATCCAAATCATACAGTATCCTTTAAAGACCAAGTTTTTGTAGAGGAAAAACGAAAAATTACCTTTAAACTGTTTGCCTAGCATTGTAAGCAAAGCAAGATCACAAAAAAATTCAAAATTTGGGATGCAAAAAGAGAATATCCAGAAAAATACGAAATTTATTTGTAATTTTTTTTCCCCCTTATCAAGAAGGGTCAGAGAGGCAGCTTACACATTATGAAATCTGAACAGAGATTGGGCGATTCACCGAGAATGAAGATGTGGATTTGGGGCTTCGTTGCCGAATATCTCTAGTAGTAGTAATTTTCTTGAATATGAATGATTCAAGAAAGCATTGAAGTAAGACAAGAGATTTGAGACTTAAGACTTAGGAGGTTTTTATTCAAGAAAGCCTATTTTCCCTTTGGGGTGTTTTAAATTTCTTGACCGTTCAATTAGATAGCGAATGCATATGATTTGATATGTAGAATTTCCGCGCATTGTCATATCATAATATACAGGGAATAGTTATCTCCTAATAATATACGTAAAAATAGGTGAGTTCATTTTTTGTGTGTGATAATTATATATATTTTTTCTTCTCTTCATATAACATCACAAGCTTCGTATTCGTATGTATAAAAAATAAAATTATTTTATATAATATGAAAAATATTTATCTCTATATTATATGAGAAAAATGTGTATCATTTTAAATGAAGTAAAATTGTCATTTTAAGTAAGAGAAAGAGATAGATAAAAGAGAAGAGAGTGGACAGAAAAATATAAAGATGCGGGTCCCACCTCTTTGTGAAAGTAAAAGTGAAAGGATATAAGTTATGTCAAACACTTTTTTCATATTATATAGTGTCCTTTTGTGTGTGAAATTTATCAATATTTTTCAAGAGATTTTTTGGTAAAATTTGTGGGTACATCACGTGACGTCTATAATATTTCACATTAATTGCTTCGGATTTTGTAGCGTGGCTTTGCTATACTTTGTAGTTTGTACACATGCAACTTCTATTGTATTCAAGTTTTGAACATGTAAATAATTCTTAAAAAGATTTATATGGCTTTGAAATCAATTTCTTCTCTAAATTTTTTTAAAATTTGGGTTGGGAACCGAAATCTCACAACTGTAATTTTAAATCCTTTCCACACAAAAAAGTCCTAAACAGGCTAGCCTGTAAACTCGATGGCAGGTTAGCTCACAAAAACCAAAAGAAAAGAAAAAAGTTCAATCTATTATATATTTTTTAGTTTATTTTGTTATGGTTTGAGCATGTATATTGTCTAATACATGTTTTTCAGACCAAATACAATATGAGCTGGACAAAGTGTATCAGATCAAATCACACACGGCTGAAGTGAGAAGGCCTTTGGGGTGATCTGTTTTCTTGGCTTGAAGTGGTTGATGATTAGGAGAGGACTTGGGTGCGTATTGAGTCCGACTGGGGATACTTGCAATTATGGGTGTAAATGAGTCAGGTTAGGCTGGCCTTTGGCCTTCCTGGCCTAAGCCTACGTAAAAAGATATTCAGCCTATCTGGCCTATTGCCCTACTAAAGGCTTTATTTATTGGCCAAGCCTGACTTATTTTTAAAAATTAAAGAGCCTTATATGGCCTACAGGCCTTGTAGGCCTCCCTAGTGAAATATTTTTAAATTTTTTTTAAAATATTTGTAACAATTTTTAAAATATTCGCTTGACATTACAAGTCATTAACGTGTTCATAAATTGCTGCATTTTTTTACACGAGATATAAATTTCACTAGTGAGCATTAAAAATTTTACAATAGTAAAAAAAAAATAACTATAAAAATATACTGAGCAAAGTTTCATTCATGCATGCACTAGTATTTCTTATAATTCATAAAAAATAACAAACAAGAAAGAGTCAACATAATACCCCAGCTCTATAATGTATATCATATACCCTAAAATAAATTTTTTTTAAAAAAATTAAATAGGGCGGCCTACGAGGCTTCAGGCCAGACTTGACAAAATTGACCTATGACCTACTTGTTAAAAGGCTTTCTTATAAGTCTAAGCCTACTCTACTTTTCAACGTTGGCCGGTCTGTAGGCTAGGCCAGGTCAGCCTGACCCATTTACACCCCTACCTGCAATGACACTCCGACGCTCAAGTCAGTATCAATAGCAGGTGTATGTGTATTCTTACTGAATTAGATCATAATACCTGGGCATGTACCCTCTGTTTATATAGTGGTTCTGATGCCGCATTGGGAAGACGGTATGACCTCTGATTGGCTGTTCAAGGGTTGCAGGTTCTGCTAGTGCTTCAATATCCTTATCTCTTGATATATTAGGCTATCTTGATAGAGTGGTGGCAAGCTGGTGCTGTCTTCTGTTTATTTATACAATAGCATGTGGACCTTTATTAGTTCCTGTGATTACTTCCTTATCATTGAAGTTATGTCATAGGGTGGTTTCATGCGCGATGATGATATCACACCTTATCATGCGCGATAGGAGCCATCGCACCCCACACTTGGCCTTGTGGTTTTGGGCTTTTGTTCTATATATTTGGGCCCTTGATGGGCTTTCATATTTTATCCATATCACATGTATAAACTAATATAATTAGTGAGGTTTAATTAATTTTAGTAATTTTTTTTTCTGGTTTTTGAATTTTTTCTTAAAATCTAATAGAGAATAATCTAATTTTGCAAAACGAATGGGGACATTAATAGGTTTATATCATGTTTGACAAACAGTAAACAATAAGACAGATTACCTATTATAATCTTAATTACTGAGTGCATGTTTGGTGCATAGTATAGGATAAGGCCTGATAGTATAAGACCTGATAGTATAAGGCCTGATTGTATAAGACCTGATTGAATTTTAATACTATCCAGCGTTTGACACGGTATTGTATAAAATAATATATTGTATAAGATAATATCATCTAGTATTTGGTAATGCACTGTATAATACTATATATGATAAAAATAAATTTTTAATAAAAATATCCTTTAATAAAGAATTTATATAATTCTTCAAAAAATGTCATATATTAATTTTTATAAAAATTTATTGATCAGTGTGTCCAAAATATAAATTAATTTTTATAAAAATAAAAATATTCAATATTTTAAAAATTAATATATTGAAACATTAATTTTTATTTTAATAGATTAATATTAAAATAATATATTAATTTTTTAGAATTACATTGTGTTAATACATCAATCTCTTATCAGGCCTTATCCCTCACCCTTAGGCCAGATTAAGTTATACATCATTTTGATGTATTAAGGGATTATGCTGTATAAGCTTATACTATACGATGGTTACACCAAACAATTGAAAATGTCATAACGTAGCTACCAAACAGGCCCTTGAAAATCTTAGGCATTTCTTTGAGCTTTACTTCTTTACACGTGTAGCGAAATTCTTTTATACCACTAGCAGAGTTTCCAACTTTTCTTATCAGCAGAATTTTATTATAATGCATTATTTACTCTCCCTTGGTAGGGAACAACGGGGTATGATGATCAGTGATCATAAGAGACAGATTATTAAATTGTAATCTACATGAAAATATACTTTTAAAACTATTATAATTAAACTTTAATAAAATATATTGGATTCTATAAGTACCCACAGTCATGATTTTTTTTTTTGGAGTTATCCAATCCTAATTACCTCTTTGAGGCGAATTAGCTCTCTCTGGTATCCCCACAAGCTTCGACTCTTTGAGCCGGTTATGAGACTAATCCGGAGTGCGGGGGTCAGTGATGGCTAAAGGTTCAGCCCCCTCCCCAAGAATGCATTCAGCGAAAATCAAACACATGTCCAACCCCACTAACTCAGCGCCAAGGAACCAACTGAGCTGCATCCATTTACGGCCTTTCTAATTGATTTATCCATTTTAATTTATTTATACTATCATTCAATTACCTTCTACTAAATTATTAAGAATTTTTATACAAAAAAAAATTATTACGAATTTAATTATCATAACTATATCAAGATCTTCGAGTAATGTAACGACATATCATTAAATTAAGATATAAAATAAATGGCTTGCATCAAAGTTAAACTCAATTTAAAATGATATCTGGTATATTGAGTCATAATCAATTCAGCAGTCCAGTTGAAACTGGAAATCAACATGAAATCTTGTGTTAGAATGTATCAAGAAATTATAGCCTGTTCTAAGCTTTATTCTATTCGAACTATCTCGTGGTTCAAGTATCTCAACCAGCAAATCTGAGCAAGAAAATCATCAACACTGATATTAGAGTAGTAGTCGGTCATCTGAAAAATCTTGATTACCATGGTCCTTAGATTTTTCCCATACTTCAACAAGGATTCTAGAGTACTAATTTTTTGTTCAGCATTTCGTGTTTTTTTCACTGTGATCACAACCTCCTCCAAACATGGAATCACAAATCCTGGATCCACCTGTAAAATGAATGAGTTTCTTCATTAGATAAGATGTTACAGAACAGTCTCAATCAGATTTATAGCATAAAAATTATTACGAGTTTACATGTTTCAGACTGTTCTTCTGGCATAGTGCTGCAAACATGCCTCCATGGATATCAAACTTGCGCAGCTTGGGATGGTTGTTGAAAAAATCAACAAAATCAATCTCCGGAAAGGAAAAAAAGGTCACATAGTCCGCAGCGAATTCAATCTTCATATACAGATGCTTCACCTCACTTGCCAATTCCAGCATTTTGCATATTGATTCCCAGCGCCAATAGACCCCCCTCATAGATAGGAATTCCAGAGCTGCAAGGTTTCCGAAATCAACCATGTCTACTCTCCCTGGAAACAATAAACATGAAAGGAAACAAAATTAAGCTGACAAAGTCAACAAGACAATTACTTGGGAACAAGAAAAGAATACAGCCACTAAGAAATATGTAAGTACATGAATAAATTCAAAGAGACTGAAAAACCAATTCAATCCAAAATCTTAAACTTTTAAACGAAGACTCTTTAATGGTTTATATTATTCTCTAACACGTCTCTTCACATGAGAGGTCGTTGTTCTTGAAGGTGGACAATATACTGATCCACCTACATGTGCTAAGAAAATTCCTTAAAAGAAAGTGGGGCGAAGGGCGGTGATAATCGAATCCAAGACATAAAGCTTTGATGCCACGTAAAGAACTAATTCAATCCAAAAGCTTAAGTTTCTAAGTGAAAGTCTCTTTAATTGTTTATATCATTTCTAGCATAGTCAATTACCTGAATTATTGGATATTGAAATAGTCCTCAAATTCTTGGTTTCAGGGACCCTAATCGAACTACAGCCGTGTACCTCAAGGGATTCAATTTTCGGGGAGGTTAGTGAAAGTGAAAAGTTCCCATAACCTCTGAAGATCAGCTTACACTGCTCTAAATACTGCAGGTCGATTGAGAATGCTCTAGCCCCACCACATCCAAGCAGTGACAATCTTGTCAGATTTGGACATGACAGAAGCACCGCAGTCAATACATGATCCTTCAATGCTGAACCAATTATTTCAAGGGTCCTAAGATTTTGGAAAACATCCCATTGTGGTAAATAATTTATCATTACGACACGCCACAGTTTTAGAGATTTCAAATTCCTTGCTGCACCAATGCAATCCAATTTTGATCCGATTTCAAAGAATTCCCGGTTGTAACCAAAGTTTTGGATTCGAAGCTCGAGTTGAGAAAGAGATAGACCTACATGGGATAGCCATGAAGCAAGGCCAAAAGAAGAGAAAGGACTATATACAACTAGCTCTTGTAATCTCACAACTGTTGATACCATTCTTTTAATAATGTTGTCAGAACTTTCATTGCCAGCAAGGTTAACAAATGAGTTGCGAGGAAAGTAGAGAGATCTGATATAAGCCATTGAGTCCTTCCATCCCTTGGAAACACAATTGCAAGCTGCCACATCACGGGCATTGTTGATATTGGACAAGATGGATTGAAGAATGTGATCAGGGAGGGATTCCATTGCTGATTACAAGAATCAAAACAGATAATTGTTAATGGATAGACAGATTCAAGAAAATCTTTCCAAATTAGCAATATGAACAAAGACCACACTTGGAAATTATGAAGGCTATAAACAAAACTGTTGCTATCAAGCACAAGCATTGCAATCAAATCTAATCCAAGTAAATACCCGTTAAAATGTTTGCTTAGCATTGTTAGCAAAGCAAGATCACAAAAAAAAAAAAAATTTCCAAAATTTGGGATGCAAAAGAGAATATCCAGAAAAATACGAAATTTATTTGTAAATTTTTTTTTTCCATTAGCAAGAAGGGTCACGGAGGCAGCTTACACATTATGAAATCTGAACAGAGATTGGGCGATTCACCGAGAATGAAGATGTGGATTTGGGGCTTCGTTGCCGAATATCTCTAATAGTAGTAATTTTCTTGAATATGAATGATTCAAGAAAGCGTTGAAGTAAGAGAGAAGATTTGTTGGGGTTTTTATTCAAGAAAGCCTGTTTTCCCTCTGGTTGTTTTAAATTTCTTGACCGTTCAATTAGATAGCGAATGCATTATGCATATGATTTGATATGTAGAATTTCCGGGCATTGTCATTTCATAATAGTCTTATTACCAATCAATTTCACCATTAGATCAATTATATTGATCCAACAGTTATATTTATTTTTATCTTTGTATAATTATGATTTTCCATATTTAATACTTTATATTTATTTTCACCTTTGTATGATTATGATTTTCCATATTTAATGCTTTTACATTAAATATGGGGAATCATAACCATACAAAGATGGAAATAAATATAACCATTGGATCAACATAATCGATCTAACGGTGAAATTAATTGATAATAACATTAATAGTAACACTAATTAGTTGTTACAATCTATGAAACACCGACACTTCAAAAATCCTGACGTGTCGTGTTCGACACTTTCCGACACTCACCGACACTTCCCGACACTCCAATACTCGTTGCAAACACTAAAAAAAAGTTCAAATGTTACGTTGCATTGCATTTTGGGTTCCAATTATTAGATTCGTTAGATTACAATTACAATTTTATTGTGTTTAATATAAATATTTGGGATATATTATGTCTCTTTGCAAAATTGATGGGTATTATAAGTTTAGTTTTATTTTTTTGTTAAATTATTGAATACTAAATATAATATACACTGCATAAATTAAAAATATTATATAATATCAAAACGTGTCCTAACGTGTCAAAATTTAACATTTTTTAGAATTAACGTGTCGGAGTATCGTGTCGTATCGTATTCCGTGTCCCGTGTCGGTGCAACATAGGTTACAATATCCTTCCCCTTCATAATATACAGGAAATGGTTATCTCCTAATATACGTAAAAATACGTGAGTTCATTTTTTTTTGTGAGAATTATATATATTTTTTCTCTTCATATAACATCACATGAGTTTCATATATTATATATGTATAAGAAAAAAATTTATTTTATATAACATGAAAAAAAACTAAATAACGACTTGAAATGTGAATTAAATAAAATTAATCTATCAGTCATTGCTTACGTGAATTATGGTTCTTGTAATCAGCCATTGCCGTCACCTGCAATGAAATCCTTTTCGTTTTCATAGAATCATGCAGAATAAATTAGGATTGTTTGTGCTGATTTCCAATTTTCTTTACTTTCAGTTCTACATAACATAGACAACCAAGTTAGAAAGTCGTTACAGTATCATGGTTACATTTTCAAGCTTTCTTGTCTTCAGAGCAAAGCTGAATACCTGATAGTATATATTAATATCAATATATTAAGATTTGGCAACCACCTCTTTTGAATCAGAGTTTTCCACATATTACAAAATTCAAGGGGAAAAAGAAAAAATAAGAAGGAATACCCATTACAGATTTTGTCCATACTATTTCAGTTTATCTGAATTTTTGTACAGAAAGAACAGTCCCAACATGCTTCAAGTCAGTCTGAATAGTCTTACAATGCTAGTATATAATTTCCAACATATTTTCAGGAAGGAAAAACAATTGCAAGGATTGTGCATATCATGCAGGAACCCGGTAAGATGGATCAACCATTTTAAGGATGAACAAGTTTCCTTTGTCACCTCTTGATACCCTGTTAAATTATAATGAGAAAGTATGACAACGATTATTTGATGATATATACAGCACATGATAGTAAAGCAATTTACAATGGAGATATGGTCCAATGGGGTTCATAAACATCTTTCTCCAAAAAGAATAAATGTGAATCCCAGTAAATTGTTTACATGTAATCTGGTAACTCACCGCAGTTCTTCATCCAAATATGTTATTTCAAGTTCACCACGAGCTCTTCCAGGCGCCTTAATAGGTATCTGCACGTTTACATTATGAAGAAACAGATCATGGTCAGAAGCTATTACTCAACAGAAGTGTACATTACTTATTAGGGTACTTAATCCATACAAAATTGCAGATGTAGGATATTAATTATAACTAATGTAATGTATATGGACTTTGTTCGAGCTTGTTATAATTATCATTTGCAAAGTACCTCAACAGAATTTCATTTTTCACTCGTATAGTTTCATTGGTAAAGTTGTTCTTTCATGACTGAAAGGTCATGGGTTCGAATCCAGGAAACAGCTTCTTTGCAATTATGCAAGGGTAAGACTACGTATAAGGATTACCTCCACCCACACTCGCTAGTCGGGTTTAACGGGGAGTGGTTTTTTATAGTTTCTTAAGCCAACATCATCTAGAACATTACAGAATATAATTTCAATCATAACTATTGAAACTTAATACTTACGAAGCCTGCAATTTTGAAAGTATCGAATTTCACAGCCACTTTCTTTGCATTTAGAGGTGTTAAATCCGCTGTCACCTACACAATAATGATTTCATTTACATACGCAAATGTCAGAGAGAGACATAATTTATAAATTGTGAAAACTTAATCTCAATTTCACCATGTGTCACCTGATTGAAGAATGGCCAAGATTCCATATTTTGTGCCCTGAGAATATCGACATTGATTGCTTGGTAATTGGTGACTGATCTCAACAACTTTGGTCTCTGTCGTTACATTATTGAAAATGTTACTACAATATATGCAGGCAAAGGTGGTAAAAGATAAACCTCTTAACTTCGCTATTTAAAAGAAAAGAGCATTTTGCAAGTAACACTGTCAAAACAGGCTAGGCCAGATTGGAGTTTAGTAGGTCTGTTCATAATTTAAATGAAGTCCTAAACAGGCTAGCCTGCAAACTCGATGGCAGGTTAGCTCACAAAAACCAAAAGAAAACAAAAAAGGTTCAATCTATTATATTTTTATAGTTTATTTTGTTATGGTTTTGAGTATGTATATTGTGTAAAACATGTATAAACTAATATAATTAGTGAGGTTTAATTAACTTTAGTAATTTTTTTCTGGTTTTTGATTTTTTTTTTTTTAAAATCTATTAGAGAATCATCTAATTTTGCAAAATGAATGGGGACATTAATAGGTTTATATCATGTTTGATAAACAGTAAACAATAAGACAGATAACCTATTATAATCTTAATTACTGAAAAACTATTGAGTACACAGTTCAATACTATGGGCTATAGAGGGGAATCCTAAACCAAAAATAAGAAAAATCTCTTTCTATTTTTTAGGTGGTGGTATATTTGTTTCACTGCAATCAAATCTATGGATCACTTCAATGGATACATACAACCATTTATGAATTATGATCTACTCTTATGCACTCTCCAAGTAAAACAGTAAAGCTTTAGAACTTTACTTCATGCATATAAATGTAGTAGCTGCTCACATTCATTATATTAACTCAAATCTAAAATTATACCAAAGGAGCACTGATATGTAAACACATATAGAAAGGAACAACCTAAAATGCTTAAAAACATATCTTGGATGATTTATCACCCGATTATAGATATATAACTATAAGGGGGAGCAAAATTAACCTGGGTTTGCAAGATTGACTGCGAGGTAGTGTACATAAGCTCCCATTTTCCATCCAGTAGATTAGATTTTAGGGGCTCCTTTGTTGGATTAACTGCTTCAAGTTTGCGTGCAATCTATTTAGAAATAAATTCCACCAATCAAGAATAAAGATGCATGTGAACTTGAAAACTTGGTCACAATTCTATGGAGAGAAAATAATTGATATAAACACGCATCACATATTCACATCCTTCACGAATCACATAGATTAGCAATAGTAATTTTTTTTTTTATCAATCTTCCTAGCTTTCATTTAAGACAACGTTGATTGAGCAAACAAAACATACAACTCAAATTAAGAACCCAAAAAAGAGAGAGAAAAAGTGAAGTCAACCTGATCAACTCTTTGCTGGTCTTCGGGAGTGGCATCAGCCCCTCGATCAAGTGGTGCAATGGCCTCAAGAAGTTCTTCCTTGATGATCTTAGCATCTTTTCCTCTCTTCAAGAAAGCAGGAAAAAATGAAACTTTTGCTCTCCATTTCTCAGAGATACTAAGGGAATGACTGGTGTGATAGATGGTGGGTCTAACTGGGAAGTGAGAAGAAGAAGAAGAAGAAGGTGGTGAATGAAAGTGAAGCACTTTGGGAACTGAATCAGTTGTGTTAAGAGCTGAAAGTAGTGAGGTAGAGGATAAGGCCATGGGTTATGGCTTTCCTTAGCCACACTGATAAAAAAAGTTTTCTTTTTGACTTGTGGGTTCTGATAAAATGGAGAGAAAAACTACACAAACGTCCAAAGTTTTGGTTTTTAACCAAGACCGCGTGGAAATATCTATTCCTTAATATACAAAAACCTTAATAAATATAGGTTTTATTAATAATAGAGTTTTAGCACGTGCAATGCCACCTTAAGCTTAAGCTTATGCTTCAACGACTCGGTGGCTCTCACCCAAAACCCGAAGCACAAAAGTCTACCTGGTCATCTCTCTCTCTTTCTCTCTCTTTTCCCTTCTTTTTTTTGATTGAGCTTCTTCGATGAGCTGAAAGCTTGAATTTTGATTATACCCCAACAAAAGATATTTGAAGAAAGGGTGCCAATGTTTCCCATGACCCAGTTGAGGACATCGGCTGCAACACCCAGTTATGTGATTTCTTCCCACAGAGATTTTTCAGGATACAAGTATTCTAGAAGAATATTATCAGAGCAAAAATTTCCGTTCAAGTTCGTGCCGCAGTCTTTGGGGGATAGATGGAAGCTGAATGACATAAGTGCTAGTATGTTCTGTTTTCATGTTCTCTTTTCAAGTATATTTCTCATTATTACAACTTTGATTCAGTTAGATGTATGCTTCTTATGCTGGGAGGGGGAGCATATTTTTTTTTAACTGACTATCTGGTTTTTGTTTCAGTTAGATTTGATGTGTGTGTGTGTGTGTTTCCAATTTGTGCTCAAAGGTCACCTCCCTCCCAATGATTTCGAAATTACAATTATTTTGAATAATAAAATTTCCATCATTCATGGTCATATTAGAAAAGCTACCATTAGTTAAACAATGATAGCACACCTATTCAGTTAAAAATTCTGAATTCTCCTGATGAGTCACCTTTATGTCCTCCTAATTACCTAGTTATTTAAAGAAGAAAGTATTAGATGCCTTTTCGATTCTCAAAATATCAAATGCTTTTACTTTTTTTTTTTATAATACTTTTTTATTTTTTTAGTTATTAGGAAGAGGCTTAGGTAATATAGCATTTCTCTATTTTATATTGTGTATTTTACTTTTCATGTCTCTCATTGTGGCCTTTTTTTATATAGTTTTTAAATTTTAATTTCATTTTTAAAGGTTCTATCCAAGAAAGATTGAATGTATTTCTATCGAGGACCCAAAATTTTTTGAATGAAGTGACTTCTCCTCTTGCAAAACCTGGTCAAAGTAGGAAGCCTGATCCTGAAAATGATTTCGGATTTCAAGTTATGGAAGACATGTTTATGGTGGAGCAGACAATTGACCGCAGAACACCATATGGAATTCTTTCTATAGCTGCTGTTATATGTATTGAGCAATTCAGCAGGTGAATCCATGTGCATCATTTTATGTTGGGTGAAACTTTTCTGTATTGGTCCTTGGGCCAATCATTCATCAAATGGATTATAAATTAACAAATTCGAGACTAAAATATATAATTGAAGCGCAGTATGATATATGTTTGTTTACTTTTGCCCTTGGAATGTGCAATAAAATGATTTATTCCCAAAATTACAGCAGAAACAATGTAATAAAAGAAGACCTAAATGTATATTTTCTACTTTTCTGTTTCTTCTTTTGCCTTAAAATGTTTGTATATTGCTTCCGATAATTTCATCAGTTTCTTTTCTTAAATTGTTTTATTCAATCCAAAAATATGATGTGTGGTTCTTGTGCTAGCTTGGAGTTGAGTTATGACTGAGATAGACGAGAATGTAATTGTCAAGTTATCATTTTTATTAGATGTGCAGGGAAGCAGCTTTCCTAGTAAGACATAAATTACTCTTTTTTTCTAGTTACATAGAAGGCCCCAAGGGCCTGAGAAGGGGGAAGGGATTGAACTATTGAACCACAGCATCAAGCACCCCCTTGTCTTAATGGTCAGGGCTATTGCCACTTGAGCTATCATCCAGTTGGCATGTATTGCTTTGTTAATTTAATATCAATGGAAAATTGAATCCTGATGAGCTTCCTTAATGAGGGTCTTGTCTTTTTGTATTGCTTGCTTAATTCATGCCTATCAGACTGATACAGAAATTATTATTTGACTTTTTGAAAATAAGATATGCAGGATGAATGGATTGACTGGGAAGAAAATGCAGAAGATTTTTAAAGCACTTGTTACTGAATCTGTATATAGTGATGCGCGTAATTTGGTTGAATATTGCTGCTTTAGATTTTTGTCAAGGGATGGTTCTGATATTCATCCCTCCCTCCAGGTATAGAATATTGTTCTTTGGATGATATATTGGAAACTCTGTTCGTTTTCTGTTTTGTTTAATAATACATGTTCATCATATGGTCCCATCAACGTGCATTTGGTATTTTTTAGTTTTCCATTCTATCTTTTTCATTTAAACTAAGGGGCAAACCTTTCTTCCCACATTATGTATGTTTCAAACATTTAAAGAAGGTCATGGGTTTAAATCCAAGAAACAATATCTTTGCAAATATGTAAGGGTAAGGCTACATGCAAAAATTTCTCTCACCCCTACCCTCGCAAATCGGAGTTTCATGTAGAGTGGTTTATATATGCTTGGAAGGTTTAGTTTCTAAACACACTTTTCAAAAGAAAAAAAAATGTTTTGATTTTTCCTGTCTGCATATTTTTCTTTTCATCTGATTGACACTACACCTTCCCCTCTTCTTTTGCTGCCTTCCTGCTCTAATCTTTGCCAGCAATTTGAGGATCATTGAATCCTCCTTGGTTAGCATGACTAAGATGGTCAAGTTTTTCAACAAATGACAGCGTACCATTGATGAAGATGGTCTAAGCTGGTCAGACGTCTGCCTCAATAATGCCAAGCCTCACTATGTTTGTGCCATCCAATCCCTTTCCACCTAAAAACTCTGAATGTGAACCCGCAGTCTGTCCAATAGTTGTCCATAGCCGAGCCCTAGTCTTTTTTTATGAGCTCTTCCTCAGATCTTTTGATTAAGTCTTCAATTTCATTCTGATAGTTCACAAATGGTGTTGTTTTGGAGTCATGGATCTTTGATTTCACCAATGTCGATTCTGCACTTTCTCACACCGATCTATTGGTAAAGAATTATGCAACTCCCCCCCACCCCCCACCTACCACAAAAAAGGGAAGAGCAGACATACTACGAAATAAATTTATCAAAAATAATAAATGGTTTTTGGAAAATTTGAAAAGGCAAAAAAGGAGCAGTGGCAAATGAAGCCTAACTTACGGGATTTTTTTTTTTTTTTTTTACTTTTCCTATTAGTTGTTAAAATGCTGTAATACTGGATACAATTTATTCTTTTATCCCAAAAAAGGAAATACAATCCTTATTGCTTTCGGACATGTTTATAGGACCCTGCATTTCAGAGGCTGATATTCATAACCATGCTTGCCTGGGAAAATCCTTACACTGATGACCTTTCCAGCAATGCAGAGAAGGCATCTTTACAGGTTCACTTCTTTTCTTTATTTAATTTACTTCAACCACCCTACAAGCTTGTGAATACCCTGCTAATTGGATAAGGGAGATATGTGTGAAGAGATAACATTTTTCTTAGGAATTCACCCTCTAGTTTGTCTATTAAACTGTAACACGATGATTGAAATTTTAAGGGTAATAGACATGACTAATTGGAGAGTATGTCACTCGTAACTTTAAAATATCCTCCCTATTGTACCCAGAAAAAAGTTATCCTCCCTCGCGTTAATGATAGTCTATGAATAGTTATTTCATTTTGTGAATTGAATCGATGATGTCCTTGACTCCTGATGGAACATTGAAGGTGGGAGATATTTTGGGGCAAGGATTTCCAATTGTTTTTTTCAGCATAATTATACATGAAATTTTCGTGGGCTTTGCAGACTAAACTTGTCACTGAGGAGGCTTTTGTTCGTATTGCTCCTGCAGTATCTGGTGTGGTTGACCGTCCCACAGTGCACAATCTTTTTAAGGCTCTTGCTGGTGATCAAGACGGCATTTCTGTGAGCTTGTGGCTGACGTACATGAATGAATTTGTCAAGTGAGTTTTTAATGTTCATCTTCTTGTCAGTGATATGATGATCTTAGGAGAAGATATCCAAGCAACATGTGTTTCTGACCCCAAGTTGAAGAAATATGAATGGTTTACAATGATTTTCCAATTTCAAATGCTTCTCGTGCACTGGGTGTTCTCACTTTATCTGGATAGTTTGTTTGTGAAAGAATATGACAGAAAGAATGGAATTTCTTTTTGCATGATAAGAATAAGATGAAAGAGCTAAGCATCCATAAGAGTAGATGGATGCTTAGCTCTTCCATCTTATTCTTTTGTTCATTTCTTCTGAACTTTCTGTTCATAATGCTGTTTCAGACTCCTCTCCTGTGTGCTCTTCAATTTTCTGATATGCTACGTTGAGGGTTCATGCAAGCTATTGCAGAAACCTGGAGGACCTTTATTTCATTTTCTTCACTTTTAGTTCTCATATTTCCAAGATCTGTGTAGTTTATAGACTTTCCACATTGTACAGCTGCCTGAGTTCTGCTGGAGTTTTGTAGCATAAAAAGATGGTATAATTTGATAGTTTCATTTTTCCTTTTTTGGTTTGTTCTATGCACATGCTCATCCCTTGATAGTACAGGAATGCTCTCAGAACTTCTAAACAGCTTCTGGTATTACCTAACTTTTGTGCTGAACATGTGTTGGTATTACTGTAGAGTGCGTGAAGGACAGAGGTCATATCAGATTCCAGAATTTCCTGAACTTTCTGAGGAGAGAATTTTATGCATTGGTTCCAACAGTAAACGGCCTGTTCTGAAATGGGAGAATAATTTGGCATGGCCCGGCAAACTCACTCTTACTGATAGAGCAATCTATTTTGAGGTATTTTATGATTCTATGAGATGTTTGCACTCTCTCATAGGCTTTGGGATTTTCCCTATAGAAATGCAAGAAAGTCCATGGATATCTCTGTTGAGATATATAAAACCATTAATATAGCTTCACCCAACAGCTTAAGCTTTTGGGTTGAATTGGTTCTTTACATGGTATCAGAGCCTCGTGTCCCGGGTTCGATCCTCACCGCCTCTTACTTTCTTTCAAGTGGAATTTCTTTGTTCGCACAGGTAGGTGGATCTGTGCATTGTCCACCCTTCAAGCCCAGTGGGCTCTCGTGTTGAGATATATAAAACCATTAATATAGCCTCACCCAACAGCTTAAGCTTTTGGGTTGAATTGGTTCTTTACAATCTCTATCCAAAGCACAATTACCACTTTATTTATCTTGCTTATTGTCAATAGTATGTGCAAGTATGTTATATGATTGAGGATGTGATTAAAAAATTAGTAGATCTGATTGTTTTGTTTGTCTGTTGGTGTTAAAAGGGCAAACCCTAATGCACAAGGCTTCCCAACTTGTGAGAGTAGGGGTGAGGGTAGATAGTACACTACACAGGTGTTATAGCACATAAAATTAAATTTTCTAATACTTCTGGAACAGAATTGAATGCTATAAGCCTATAACTACCAAAAAATACATTTAACTTGTTGCAGCTGGAGGCCCATAATTCCTTATATCTGTCTTAGAATGTAGTTGCTTGTTACAAGATCTCCTTGACTTATCACATTGATGCTCACCGGCAAGTGTACCGATCGCACAAGTAATATAATGAGAAAGTAGAGTATCATTTCCACAGGGATTGCAAACCAAGTACCACAATAACCAGTCCCCTTAAGTTGGAAAATTTGGTTGTTTTGGAAAATAGTGAATTGATGGTAAAATAAAGACAAATATATAAAATATATAATTTTCAATTTAATAAGCAATGGTAAAAATTTGGATTTTTGAGAGAATAATAAAAAGGCATTGCAGCTAAGGTACACGCACCATATGATCCCCGCTTTAAACTTTGGATTGACTGACAATGTTCATTCAATTTAATAACTTAGACAAATTATCATCTAAAATAATTAGTTAAATCTCAATCCCTTGACAATCTAACCCTTTAATCCAATTGGAACCCTAATTCCTTAGCAATCCCGCATGAAATTAAGCATTAATCACGATAATTGAAACGACTGCAATTCACACAAGTCTATCCCTAGAGCATGCATAAATTGTTACTTTACCCCCTTTCAGAATCAAAAACCCCAATATTCCTATTACGAGCCCTAATTCCCAAATTATTATCTCATATTAGGTTGATCAAGTCTAACAGAAATAATAAACAATACGCACAGGGTAAAAATAAAATCTATTAAAATAAACGAGCGAAAATAATCAATCCATCGTAAAAAAAACTACAATAAAGAAATTAGCCAGCCATAGACATAGCTGATATACAATTATAAAAGAGAAAAGAAATTAAAATTACGATGATCCTCCAAGAACGATGAATTGTTCCCTTGATGTACTCCTCCAACTGGAATCCTTGTTCCTTCCGTCGTCCAAAAGTTCCTCCTATTCTCTCTGTTCAGCATCCTTTTTATATTCCTCTCACGCGTTGTTCCAAAATTGCCCTTCAAAACACGCGGTCAGGTCTTTCCGCAACCTGGCGCGGAATCGCGCCACCACGGAGCAGAATCGCGCCAACCTTCAAAACACGAGGTCAGGTTCCCGCAAACTGGCGCGGAATCGCGCCACCAGGGCACCGAATCGCGCCAAAACTCTGGAAAATGGCAGGGAACAACTGGCGCGGCCTCGCGCCACCATCCGCGCGGACTCGTGCGGTAATCTTCTTTTCTCAGTTTCATATTTTCCTTCTTTTTCCTATATAAAAATTACAAATAAGTGAAAAATACGACTGAAATGGAAAAGTCAATATAAAAAAGCAAATATGTACAAAAACTGCTCTTTTATGACTTAATCCTTATTATTTTTAGCTTGGAAAACCACATATGCCAGAGGCACATCACACATCTAATTTTATTTTTTTTTAAGAAAAAAATTATTGATATTCTCCTTATGCATTGCCAAAAGAATCAAATTCAAGTAGAATGAGTTTCTACTTGTGCATAGGAAGATTTGAATATTGATGATTAGTGCTTCAAAAATTCCATGATCCTGTTAGTTTCAGACTGGGAGTAGGAACCAAGACGTAACCAATGTGTTCAGTTTCAATAAAGCTGGCTTCCAGGCAGTGGCGGAGCAAGAAAATAATTTTAGCCCGTGCCAAAAAACCCAGCCACTGTCAAGGCTGTACCATTTTTGAAAACCTTTCATGTACCATAATATTTAAAGAAAACTTTTACCATTTTTGAAAACCAGTGCCAAGGCCTCAGCTGGTCTCAACATGGCTCCGCCACTGCTTCCAGGTCAATGCCAAGTCATATATACACATTGACCAGAATCAAATGAGGTTCTGAAGATTATCTAATACAGTGAAGAACGCTTACACTTGTCTAATGGCTGTGTGTTGCAGCAGTCAAAGGTTGACACCATCTTAACCTAGAAGGATTATGTGTGCTGCAGAGTTTAATTAAATTAACTAAATGTTACTCAGTCTCGGGGATACCCTGATTTACTAGATCAAGCAGATTGCTACAAGAGATTGGTCCCATGGAACTCCTTTCAACTGAAGGAGACAATGTGGACAAAGGATTTTAACTTTGAGAAGATGCCATTTAGCTGTTGTTAGTAATTCATCTTTGAGAATTCATTAAGATAATTAACCATACAGATTATTCACCTGTAAATAAAAAAATAGGATTGACCGTGCGTGGTACAGATTGGCTTGCTCACGAAAGTGGGTAAAAATGAACTGATAATAGATCACAGATTAAAAGAGTTTCTATAAAAAGAAAAAAAATCACCATCTTGTTCTATTGACCTTTTCAAATCTATGTTCCAGGCAGTTGGCTTAATGGGAGAGAAGAGAGCCATGAGATTGGATCTTACATATGATGGAGTACAGGTAGAGAAGGCAAAGGTTGGACCTTTTGGGTCTGCACTTTTTGACTCTGCTGTTTCTATTTCTTCTGGCTCAAAGTGAGTAAGTTTCTTCAAGCATTCTTTGTTAGTTTTACTGAGTTTTGGATTTGTGGTTCGAATATGATTAGGGTTTATAATTAATAAACTACTGCTCATCATGTATCTTCTTACCATATTAACATAGATCAAGAAGAGTAAGACTACAGGTTATAATTACTAAACGAAATATTCTGAGATCCTTAGTTCTAATATGTGGAATTCATTTAATTAACCTATAATGCATATTTTCATTTCATTAGTGCTCTTTAGTAAATATAAATTCACTTCCATGCCCATTTAAAACAAAAATAGCTCTCCTGTTTCTAAGGAATGGCAGAGTACCTTCATGGTTTTTGGTGTCCCTTGTTGAGATATATAGTCCCACATTGGTTGTATGTGCAACTAATGTGGAGTTTATAAGGTCTTGGGCACTCCCACCCTTTGAGCTAGCTTTTGGGGTGGTGTATCCCAAGGTTCTTTACATGGTATCAGAGCTTCGCCGCCCCCTACTTTCTCTTGTGGCGTTTCGTAGCACAGGTAGGCTGGGCCTGTTGCATTGTCCACTCTTCAAGCCCAATGGGCTCTCGTGTGAGGAGGCGTGTTGAAATATATAGTCCCACATTGGTTGTATGTGCAACTAATGTGGAGTTTATAAGGCCTTGGGCACTCCCACCCTTTGAGCTAGCTTTTGGGGTGGTGTATCCCAAAATTCTTTACAATGGCTACTTAAATCTTGTGGTGGATTCTTGCCAGCTGCCCTTTGGCCCAAAGTTTTCTTTCGTCTTCCTATTGTTTGCCTCTCCTATGGTAATGGTACCTAAATTTTCGTTTCAATTCTTGACAGAAAGTTTTCCAATTAACATCATGGTTTGATATAAAATTTGCAGATTAATATATGGAAAGTTTAACTAATATCATAATATAATGAGTTTCTCAAACCTTACACATCTTTTGTTGACTCAAGGAAGGAGAATTAACAGAGTTTCTGCTAGATTTTGAAAGTCCTGGTTTCTACTTGCGTGATCATTGAAACTATGTTGGCCCCTAAAAATTAAACTCTCTTGTTCAACTCCTAGACCTCATCTTTCTTATGAAAACCTATCTGGAAGAAAAGATTAAAGGACCGATTAATATTCTAGATATTCATGTGATAAAAAATTCTAAAAAAGATCAAACTCACCTCCCGTTCTCTCTCTCCCTTTTCCCTACAAAAGTAAGGTGTAAAAGGAGATGTAGGAGATTTGATGTATGAATAACATAGCTTATTAGAAGCCCACAATTTTTGCCTCCACTTTTATCCATAACGCTTTGCTGCATTTTATTATCATCATCTTAAAATCTTATATGTTTCTGTTTCCACTTATATTCATACTAAGGCTGAATTGGTGGGTGCTGGAATTCATTGACTTGGGAGGTGAGATGAGAAGGGATGTTTGGCATGCATTGATAAGTGAAGTCATTGCTTTACACAAGTTCATTCGCGAGTATGGGCCTGATGATTCTGATGAGTCATTGTTTCATGTATATGGAGCTCACAAAGGAAAGGAAAGAGCAACAACCAGTACCATTAACAGCATAGCTAGACTCCAGGCCCTTCAATATCTGAGGAAGTTGCTTGATGATCCCACCAAGCTTGTTCAGTTCTCATATTTACAAAATGCACCTCATGGTGATGTTGTCCTCCAAACTTTAGCTGTTAATTATTGGGGAGGTCAACTAGTTACAGGATTTGTAAATACCCAAAATCAGCCAGAAAGTCGATCATCCGATGAAATAGTGAATACCCGCAACCATGTTTTTGACATAGATGGAAGTGTCTACTTGCAGCAATGGATGAAATCTCCATCTTGGGGGTCTAGTACTTCCATTAATTTTTGGAAGAACATTTCAATAAAAGGTTTAATATTAAGTAAGAATCTTGTTGTGGCTGATGCATCACTCACAGAAAGAGCTGCAGAAATAAGCAAACAAAAGTACCAGGTTGTAGAGAAGACTCAAGCTACCATTGATGCTGCAACTCTAAAAGGCATACCCAGCAACATTGATCTTTTCAAGGTTGGGATGCTTACCTTGGTTTCTTATCTTATTTGATGATTTTGAGTAACTGCTATATTATGATTAAAGCACCATTACACTCAATCTGAATGACTAGTGTAAGCATGCTTTTTGGTATTGTTCACAATTTCTTGTAATTTGGAGTTTCTATTAGTTTTTCTGCTAAATATTCAATATAATTGTGCCATGCTTAACTACATTAGGATTTAGGAATAACTGGAAACTGTATGAAAGGCATTGATTTCTTATTGGTATTTCCTTTCATCCCTCTGGATTTTTGCTGTAAAAATTCAGTATTGAAATTTTTTCATTTGATCACACTATTAGTGGTGTGGTCTTTCATGAAATTTTCTTCAACTTATGAGAAAACCTTTATCAAATCAATTTCTAATCTCTTTTTTTTTTTTTTTGTTAATTTCATAAAGATATACGAGTAATAGGAAAAAAAATTTGTACTTTCTCCTGGATCATGGCAATGGGGCATTTACTTTTTTGCAATGGCTTGAGTTGTCTAATGTTTGAATATTGCAATATAATATGCAATAATAAATTATGATGCCTGAAAGTTTTGCTATGGCTGATATAATTGTACATAATTTGCGGCTCTACAGTATGTTGGGATTGTCAGTGTGCAGATAAATGATTTAATCATTCTCAACTTACATGGTACGCACAATTCTCATCCTTCCATAGGAACAAAAGAAAAAAAAAATGTTACCATGTATGACCCATCTATTGCTATTTATAGTGAAGTAGAGTCACAGAGATTTAATTTGTGCTTGTTTTAGAATTTCATGATTGGCATAGTGGTTGCTAAAAGATGTTTTTTTTTTTTTTTGGTACAAAGTCTTTTTTCTTTTACATGCATTGTGTCGGACTTAATATTTTGCGTTGTTGATACTACCAGTCTTAATTAATTCTTAAATTATGAATCACATTTTAATTTACTGTAGATCTAGTCTTCTGTGCATGGCATTAGTCTTTATGCATAACAATGTTGCCTTGACTTGGTCTTTATATTCTATTGGTTCTTTTTGTTGTTTTCTTATAATTGGGTCCCAAAAATCATAAGGTCTTTTGTTTCTGTGCAGGAGCTAATGTTTCCTTTCACCTTAACTGTCAAAAACATTGAAAAGCTTAGGCGCTGGGAGGAGCCACACTTGACTGTCGTGTTTCTTGGACTTGCCTACACAATAATATTTAGGTACATCCACACCTCATTTTTCTCATTGTGCTACTGATGATTGTTCTCTTTTCATTGAGATTTGTGCGCAGTCACAAGTCAGCGTGATGATCATTTTACATTTTTTTCTTTTCTTTTTGAGCTGATGTTTTAATTTGCCTTTCCAGAAACTTGCTGTCATATATATTTCCCATGATGCTGATGATTTTGGCAGTTGGAATGCTGACAATCAGGGGCCTTAAGGAGCAAGGCCGCCTTGGACGGTCTTTTGGTAAAGTCACGATACGTGATCAGCCACCATCAAATACTATACAAAAGATCATTGCTGTGAAAGATGCCGTGCGTGATGTTGAGAATTTTCTGCAGCAAATGAATGTCTCACTTCTCAAACTACGTGCTATTTTACTTTCTGGCCATCCACAGGTATGATATTATGGGCAATGATATGCATTCAAACATGTTCTTTAGGTGTAGCTCAAATTCTCTTGTTCTGTTTTATTGGATGATTAATTTAATCTGGTCCTTTGTCAGATAACTACTGAGGTTGCATTGCTGCTGTTATCCTCTGCAACCATTCTTCTCATTATCCCATTCAAGTACATTCTTTCCTTTCTTCTCTTTGATATGTTCACACGGGAGCTTGAGTTTAGAAGGGAAATGGTTAACAAATTCAGGAAGCTTATAAGAGAGCGGTGGCACTCAGTGCCCGCTGCCCCAGTAGCAGTTTTACCATTTGAAAATGAAGAATCTAGACCAGATATTTACTTAAAGGAAATTGAGGACCAATCAAAATCACAAGGAAATCAGAGCAGTCGTAAGTCCAGATAGTGTTACCATTTTCAGTGTTGCTTATAGAATATGTAAAGATGTAAATTTTGTTTCAATTTGTTGTAAAGAACATAGGAAGCTCGTGTACTAGCTTTTCTCTCTTTGGATTTGTCTTATGGAATGCTCTTGTTGGGTAGTTTTCAGTTATAACTTTTCTCTCTGTTGGTTCTTATTATATCACTCAATGTCATGTCATAACCCAAGCGAGGATTGAAGAAAATATATGATTAATTACAGCAAAGAATTTCTAATTTATATGCCTGCTCTTGAAGGCTTTTAAGGCATCCTACTGCAAATTTTTGTTAGTGGTTAATTAAAGTAATTGAAGCAACAAAACCAAAACCAAAGGATAAAAAAAACTGTTAAGTGTATCATTGAGAAGACCTTCAACATGCATAATTTGCTAATACTTGATCCATTAACTGAACGTGTATGCTAATGGGAGCATCAAGACCCACCATCTCTGAGATATGGCTTTATAAGCTTTTGATTTATTATTACATGCAACTTGCTGGCCATGATTAAAGCAGAGTGTTTGATTCCTGCATTCAAAAACAATTTTAGCAAGATAGTCAAGAAGATGAGGATTTATTAGGATGATATAGAATTATCCTAATGAGAATATGTCGTATAAATCTATCATGTAATGCACCAGTATAAATCTATCATGTAATGCTTCCATTGCCTGAAAAAACTGTTTTTGTCAAGAATAAACTCACCTCAATCCACAGAATGTCACAATGAAGTCTGCTCCGGAGCATGTCATTACACTTGTTGGGTCATCGTGTGCAAAACTATATGCTGCTGGACACACTTTTTTAAAAATTGTTGAATAGTTTGAAGACATACATGTGGCAGGGTTTTCATAAGTCCCTCTGCAGCAATACTCATCAGTGTTAAAAGACATTACAGGCGCTCCTGCAAGCAATAACTTTATCACCTTGCTTTGCAGCTAGCTGAGATGGGCAATTATTCCTCAAATCTCCATCACAACCAGCAGTGCTACAATTCCCACTGCCATTAACTGCTTTCACTGTCATGGGCAAGTTGAACCCATCAACAAGACTAACATCATAATAATCAGGTTCACCAAGAGTAAATTCAGCAATTGTGGCAGGTGGGGTTCCTGGGCCTGTACAGTTTATGCTGTTTCCACAACCACCTGTCTGGCAACTACCATTGCCATTATTGTCAAAGTTGCAGCCTGTTCTAGCCCATATCCTTCCACTCCATGCAGCAGGAGCACTGTGTATTGCTGATTGGCCAGGTTTCAATGCATCGCCACTGAAGTTCTGAATTCCTGTTATCCCAGGCCATATTGTCTCGTTGCAGTAATTTACCATTGTTAAAGTTTTACTGCTTCCACAGATTTCAGGTGCTGCCACCCAACCCAACACATCAAATAATTAAGTAATCATTGAAAAAAATTCCCTCCTGAGAAAACCACATTATTGTCTTTAAAAAATAAACATTTTGTGTTAAGCATAAATAAACAGAAAACTATTAGTTTTCTGTCACACACAATATAATCTTGGAAATACACTGTGTAATTGTTTTTTCTTTTTTTCTTTTTAAATTAGTGAATCTCATTCTTTTTTAAAAGTAATATCTTTGTGGCAGATGTTATTTTTCTGCCACTGCAGAAAAGTAATGCCCATAAACAAATAATCTCTCTTGAGAGAATGATTTGGGACAAAGTTTCAAAATTTGGTTAAAATCTCTCTATGGTGAGAATTCAGTGTATTGGGGTAATGTTTATCTACCATCCATATTAGTAAATGAACCAAGTCATGTATGAAACCAAACAGGAAGATTGATATAGTTGAGATAGAGGAAACTCTCCTCTATGTATAAATATAGAACCAACATCACTCTCATGCAGAAAGGTTAAAAAGTGAAGAAATTACCGAATGCAATGACAGCGAAGACTAAGGTGAATTTAAGAACTTCACTGTTAGGATTAGCCATCCTGTGGTGATACTTTCACAGAGTGTCTCCAATTGTGTGACATTTGACGTGAGAGGTTGTGCGTTATTTATGAGTATAGTTGTTGAAGAGAAGAGTGGAAGAATACGTGAGGAAGAGAGTGAATCTATGAGCAGTGACAGCACAAAAAGGCTTCCTTGCTTCCTAAGGCGATGAATCAAACGATGCCTTGCTCATTTATATGTCATATCCTTAGATTCATTTGTTATCCACTTTTCTATTTCTACTTTTCACTGATCTTTCAAAGTTTTTTTTATTGTCTTGTTTTGAAGGCATCAGATTTGCACTGAAAGCTATAATTTGTCCACTGAGTTATAATCTAATTTGTCGTGCTGGTTTGTTGGAACAGTGACTAAAATGCCACTGTTCACCAAGTTTTTTATCCAAATGCCACACGAACGAATAGTGTTATTTCCCAATATGACACGTGAGCAAGTTTGTTAGGCACTGTTGCGAACTCAATTTGATGACGTGTCACGTTTTCTAGTGGACACCAAATTCACTACCTGAGGTAGCGAACTTGGTTGCAATACATAAAAATTATGCAATGCAACCAAGTTCGCTGCCTGAGGTAGCGAACTTGGTACTGGTGTCCACTAGAAACGTGACATGTCAGCTAACTGAGTTTGCTATAGTACCCAGCAAACTTGCTCACATGACATATTGAGAAATAGCACTATTCGCATGATATTTATGTAAAAAAATTGGTGAATAGTGACATTTTGATTAGTGTTCCCTTATTTGTTACGTGCCACGAAAAGAAATCATGTTATGCTCTGTACAGGAAAACAAATGAGGAATGATTAAAATTTGAGGGATTACTTCCTTATTTCTTTTAAAATAGTTTTTCTAAATTACATATTTTATATCATGTGTTACGCATTAACGAAATAACATACTTATAACGATTATAAATTAAATAATATAAGTTATATATTTACAAAAATTATAAACTTTATTACTTAATAAGCAATTTTTGTTGTTTAAATTATAATTTTTAAAAATAAAGTATCCTTTTTTTATAAAAATAAAGGGGAATACTTTTCTCCTTTAACAGGAGAGAAGAGTTGTCTCCTACTGAGACAAAAAAGTGGGACCAGCAATTTAAAAAAAAGTAAAAACAAAAACAAAAGCTTGGCACGAAAGTCGATGTATGTGTAGGAATAAAATCTTGTCTCATGTGAAAGGAGAAAAGCATTTCTCAAAAATAAAATAAAAAAATAGAAGGACGAAGTGAACACCAAACTTGAATCAAACATCCTATCCAGTTTTAAAATAATTGTAGGATTAATTCTTCATCCCAACCATACATATCTATTAAACCATATATTTTTTGTCAACATTTTGTCATGTAATAAACTTTTTCAAAGGTTAAATTTCCTGTAATTATAATAAAATTACAGAGGACCCTAATTAATTCTTAAAATTCACATGCTCTTCATCTTGTTTTTATTTTTCTTAAATCCACAATACATATATATATATATATGGGCTTAACATTTCTGCAGCAGCCGTAGATAGTGTTATCTACAGCTGACATAGAAAAGTGGGCCCCACGGCTTTTTAAAAAAAAAAAAAAAAAAAACTCAGGATCCGTTGCCGTATCCTAGGATTCGGACGTGTATCCTTGCTTGCTGTAGGTACAGCAGCTGCAGAAATCATTTTGCCTGCAGCTGCTGTACCTACAGCAAGCAAGGATACACGTCCGAATCCTAGGATACGGCAACGGATCCTGAGTTTTTTTTTTTTTTTTTAAAATAAGTCGTGGGGCCCACTTTTCTGTGTCAGCTGTAGATAACACTATCTACGGCTGCTGCAGAAATGTTAAGCCCATATATATATATAGGGAAATATTAGTCTGGTAGCTTATCTCATTTTCTCTCACTTCGATTTTCGCACCTCACTTTTTTTTTCTTTTTCTTGTAATGGTGGGACCCACCTAGTTTCTCTCTACAACATAAGATACCTATCTTATGTAAAAGGAGATTAATAAAACTCATATATATATATATATATATATATATATATATATATATATATAGGGTTTTATTAGTGTTATGTAACATAATGTAAGTGTTGTTTCCAACTCTCACATCAAAAGAGAGAGAAAGTGGAATGATGAAAGAGAAAGAACAACATGTTAACCCCGCCTCTTTAATGTGTGTGTAGGAAAGTGAAGTTATATTATGTTAAATGATAAACATAAAATCCATATATATATAACCATTAATTTATGTATTATATTTTTCATTTAGTACAAAGTAGACCATCATTCTACTTGAATTCTATGCTTGCAGAGATGGCAGAAGATAGGAAAAGGAAAGCAATTGCAGGATGCAACAGAAGTGCCGAATATATTTATTATTTTGGCGGTGGGTAGTTAACTAGCACATGTTCTACATTTAAACCACGAAAATGTTTTTAGTGCTAAGAATGTATCAATTATTTAATATATTTTTTTATCAAATATAGAAAGAAAAAGTAACATATTTATATATATATTATCCTTATTTTTATGATTATTTTCTTTTATATTTCATTTTTTTTTCTTTTTATAAGGAATATCTACTGCTGATGTATTGAAAATACGCTCTACGACATGTCTCCTCTAACCTGATCAGGTAATCAAGCCACATGTACTTAGTCCATGCATCTTAAATTATCATTAATCATCAACGTAGTTTTATCCACACAAAAATCATCAACGTAGTTAAATACTTATGCCTTCATATTTGAGACATGAGATTACTCATGTTATAAATATATTTAAATTACGGGAAAAACACTTTTCGTGACCTTTTGATTTGTATACAAATTTTTTTTTTTTAATAAGTGTGAGGCTGATCACTAGTTGAATGACCATTCAATTAAAAGGAATGATTATTTAATATTTTGTAGTATATTATTATTTTAAGCGTTTATTTTTTTTAAAATTACTTTAGACAATTTTGTCTAATGTTCACCAAAACGACATCATTTTGGAACAGAAGTCATGATATATTTGTAATTTTAATTTATTTCAGGATTATAATAATCTTAATCATTCTAATTTTTTAATTTTTCAACTCTAGCTAAAGCAACATCATTTCGGTTAACATTAGACAAAATTTACTAAAGTAACATTAGATATTTTTTTTCCTTATTTTAAAGCTATTTATAATTAGTTTTTTCCAACCCACTAAGTAGTTGACTTTTTATATTCTTCCCCAAATTATTGTTAGTAAAGTTGAACTATTATTG